GTTCCCTAAGTGTAAAATTCAAATATTTCGACCGTTGAACAGGGGGGAATCGGTACCCCCTATGGGGGAATCGATTCCCTCCGAGCATTTTGGAAATCTTGGAGCCAAACCATTCAGGGGGAATCGGTACCCCCTTGGGGGGGAATCGGTTCCCTCTAAGCAATCTGGAATTTTTTACTTTGAAATGGTTCGAAATACTTTGAAAGATTATTTTGAAATTGTTTTAAGATTAAAACTTAATTTTACACTTAAGTAAGGATTAAAAATGATTTTTGAAATATTTTGAGTAATGTTTTGATATTCGAATAATTATATCGAATATACTTAGAAAATCATTTTGGAAAATCTTAAAATTCATTTAACTTAATTTGTTATATCGAAATATCAAAATGTTTTCAACATTCAAAAGAATTAGACGTGGAAACTAGCTAGTCTTCCGAAGAGAAAGAAGGCAATTGGGTGCAAGTGGGTATATGCAAAAAAGATGGATTTCCTGACAAGAATAACATCCGCTATAAAGCAAGATTGGTGGCTAAAGGCTATGCTCAAACGGAGGGAGTTGATTATAATGAAGTATTTTCTCCAGTTGTAAAACATTCCTCCATCATAATTTTCTTGGCTTTGGTAGCACAGTTGGATTTGGAACTAGTTCAGATGGATGTAAAAACTGCATTTTTTCATGGAGACTTGGATGAGGAAATCTACATGACTCAGCCATATGGATTCAAAGTTGCTGAAAAAGAAGAGATGGTGTGCAAATTAGAAAAATCGTTGTACGGATTGAAGCAATCTCCAAGGCAGTGGTACAAGCAATTTGACAAGTTTATGATAGGGCGTAAATATGATCATTGTGTGTATTTACACAAGCTACAAGACGGATTATATATATATATCTTATTCTTTATGTTGATGATATGCTGATAGCTTCCAAGAGTCAGACAGAAATTGCGAAACTAAAGACTCAATTGAACAAGGAGTTTGAGATAAAGGATCTTGGTGAAGCGAAGAAGATTCTAGGCATGGAGATATCAAGGGATAAGAAATTGGGGAGGCTTTGTTTGTCTCAGAAAGAATATCTGAGGAAGGTACTAAAACGTTTTGGCATGAATAAGAAGTCAAAACCAGTTAGTACACCTCTTGCTCCTCATTTCAAGCTCGGTGCATCCATGTCACCTAAGGATGATGCAGAACGGGAATACATGTCAAAGGTTATGTATGCAAGTGTTGTTGGTAGCTTGATGAATGCAATGGTGTGTACGAGACCCGATATTTTAGAGGCAGTTGGGGTTGTGAGCAGGTATATGCATGATCTTGGAAAGGATTATTGGCAAGCTGTGAAATGGATTCTGCGGTATATTCTGAACACCGTAGGTGTTGGTTTGGTCTTTCAGCAGGACAAACAAGATGGTCATTGTGTAGTGGGTATTGTGATTCAGACTATGCAGGTGATTTGGATAAGCGTCGATCAACTACTGGTTATGTGTTTACATTTGCAAAGGCACCAGTCAGTTGGAAGTCCACCTTACAGTCAACAGTGACTTTGTCCACTACAGAGGCAGAGTATATGACAGTTACAGAGGCTGTGAAGGAGGTAATTTGGCTTCAAGGGTTGCTTGGTGAATTGGGAATGGAACAGAAGCACATCAAAGTACATTGTGATAGTCAGAGTGCTATTCATTTAGCAAAGAACCAGGTTTACCATGCAAGGACGAAGCACATCGATGTTCGATATCACTTTGTACGAGAGATTCTAGAAGAATGTGGAGTCATAATCCAGAAGATTTAGACCACTGAGAATACTGTTGATATGTTGACAAAAGTGATAACTGCGGTCAAGTTTAAACATTGTTTAGACTTGGTCAATATTGTTACAAATTGAAAGAAGAATTTGCAGACACTCTGAAGATTGAATTTTTGAGAGATGTGTGTGGAATTTTCCAAGGTGGAGATTTGTTGGTTTTTTTGGCAAAGTCCCACATTGGTTGTTATTATTGGTGAAAATTAACCCGAATTCCACAACATGCCATATATTCGGACCCTTTCAACACCACGATGAATTGGGATGGTCCTAAGGTTTGTGATTACGAAGGGGTTTCTGTGCACCATCCCTCATTGATCCCAAGTTGACAGTCATTGCCGGTGTCGATCTTAACCATGCTGACATTGCCGGATATCTGCCTGTCGAGTTAGGCCTATTGACTGATTTGGCTCTGTTGCATATAAACTCTAACCGATTTTTTGGGATCATTCCCAAAACTTTCTCCAAGCTTACACTTCTTCATGAATTGGATGTTATCAACAATCGTTTCGTTGGTCCTTTCCCCAAAGTTGTTATATCAATACCCTCCCTTAAGTACCTTGATTTAAGGTGCAATAACTTTGAAGGCAAATTGCCTTCAGAGTTGTTCAAAAAGGACTTGGACGCATTGTTCTTGAACAACAATCGGTCCGTATCGAACATCCCGGAGACGTTCGGCTCGTCTCCCACCTCCATTATCGTCGTCGCCAACAATAGGCTTTCCGGTTGTATTCCGAACAGCATCGGCAAGATACAGAACATGTTGAACGAGATAGTGTTCTAAAACAACAATCTAACGGGCTGCTTGCTAATGGAGATTAGGAATCTTGGAAACGTAACGGTTTTGGACATCGCTTCCAACACTTTCGAAGGTGTTTTGGCCAAGACATTTAAAGGGCTAGGCAAAATTGAAGAACTTGATGTTACAAATAACATGTTGACGGGTTTCGTGTCGGACGAAGTCTGCCGGTTATCGAGCTTAAAGAAATTTGCTTTCTCTTACAACTATTTCAATGGCGAGGTTGAATCTTGCCTATAATTGAAGAGGAAGGACATTGTCGTCGACGATGTTAGGAATTGTTTACCTGATAGGCCTAAGCAGAAGCCGGCTAAAGAATGTCAACAGGTGGTAAGCCGACCAGTCGAATGCGGTAGGTCAAAATGCGGTGGCGGTCAAGCACTACTGAAGCCGCAACCACCTAAACCTAAACTGCCTCCTACGCCTAAACCAACGGATGATGATGACCCTTATGACCAATCACCTATTAAGAGGCAGCAGCCTCCACTTCCACCAAAACAATCAACGCCACCAGTTGTTAAACCTCCCATCCACTCCCCTCCTCCGCCAGTCAGTTCTCCTCCACCTCCAGTTCGTTCACCACCACCTCCAGTTCAGTCACCACCACCACTAGTCTACTCTCCTCCACTACCTAAACCACCTCCTCCTGCCCCACGAAAAGAGGTCGTTCTACCACCTAATATCAGATTCAAATACTCATCACCACCTCCACCAAAGTTCCCAGGATACTAAGGGGAACGTATTGAGTTTTCAGCACTTTTTTGTAGTTTTACAATTTTACAACATAAACACAGTGTTATTTAGTTTATAGCCAAAAAGAGAACGTTTATACTTCTCTCCCTGCAATATGCATATTTGCAAATATGAAAATTTAGAAAGTTATGAATATTGGCAATTGTATTGTCTCTTCAAGTTTTCTATTTTTATTTTTATCAGCAGAAACTGAGGATATAGTTAGGTAGGAAACATATTAATTTAATTTTGTTTTATGTGAAATGATAATTAAATTTAGTTAATTCATTAACTTTAGATATCAAATCCAATCACAGTTTGAAACCTGCTTTTATTGTTATTTTTCATTTAATCTGAACATTTGAATTGATGTTTCATCATATATTAAAAATATATTCATATATTTCATTTTATAATTAAAATGAACCGGCTATTAGATTGATATACAATTAAAATACGATAATCCTTTATAGTTCTTAGAGGTGATAATTGCATCGAGATTGAGTCGAGTTATTCAGATCATGTTATTTAAGTTTAGATTTTAGATTATGTATAATTTAAGTTTGATTCATATCAAAAAAAAAAATTGAAATTAATTTAAATTTAATTCGGATAAATTCATAAAACAATAAACAAAATTCATAGATCAACCAAGGGTAAACTACACGCTTAGTTACTTATGTTTGGGTAAGTTTTTATTTTCCCCAATGAAGTTTCAAAAGTTACAAATCGATCACTAGCGTTATCGATTAGTCACAAAATGATCCTTAACGATTAATAGGCGTGACGGAAAATACAATTGACGCGTTAACTGCTGACGTGGATGGGGTTGATTGGGTTGAAAGCCACGCTGGAGACCAACATCTTCCCCTTGAAATAAGAACCCAATCCCTAAACTAAAATTAGGGTTGCCTTGGAGTTGGATGTCTTCGACTAGATCCAACTCCATGTTACTTATGTTGGTTTAGTCTTTTGTTACCACCGATTAGAAAATAAGCAACAAAAAATAAGTAAAAGGAAAACTAGAAATCAACAAAAAGAAGACAGTAGACATGAATTTTCTCCAAATCAACATTAATCACAAACCGACACAAAAAATTCCCAATCCAATTAACCCCAAATTTGCTTATTCGACATTATTATTATTATTTCAATAAAAATCTACTAAAAAAAATAGATTCACTACACTGCAAAGCAAAATGAAGCAATCTAAATTCTAAACTACAAACCTTCATTTTTTCCCCTTACTAAGCCAACATTTTGCAGCTAAATCGCTAATATACAAAAAATATATAAGAATTCAATTGAAATTGATGAGTTTTTCAATGACTTGCACGTCGTTTTATTTGTTATGGTTACTGGAAATAGCTTGCTGATATTTTTCTAATTAACGTTTTGTTTAAGAGATATTTTTCTAATTAAGGTTATTTGAGGATTATTTTTTCAATAAATGAGTTTTAAATAAAAAGGCATGCGTAATTTACCCAAAAACCTCAAAATTTTCAAAAAGAAAAGAAAAGAAAGAAACTATTAAAAAAAACTACGGAATACTGTCCATTTCCGACCACCCGTTAAACTGGAGTACGTGACCATTAAAGCAGCGCCAACTTAGTACTGCGAGTCGGGCCTAAAGCCCAAATGGTCATTTCACTTTTTCACCCCAACTTAGTACGTGACCATGAAACATGATGCGGAAACGTAGTTCAAAGCGAACGAGTTCAGCGAGTGAGTGAATCAGTGACTCATCGTCTACAATACGGTCCACACTAAACTAAATCCCGTTAACGCAGAACCACCGGCAACCCCCTCCTATGACGAGCCGCCGTGTCCTTTCGTTTCTGTTTTTCTTCCTGTTCTCTCAGATCTTAGCCTTCGCTTCCAATCCTCCCCAATCAAACTATCCCCAAATCCTACAGGTAGACAACAAACATTCAAATTAATAATAAATTTCCCTAATTATCATTCCTCCAAAAAGAAAAGTTCCCTAATTCTCATTAAATTTCTTGTTTGTTTGGGATCAGGATGTAATTGAGAAGATTGCTTTGAAGCAGAAATGGGAGGCGGAAGGGCTTAATTTTACAAAATTTGAATTGAGCAAGGTTAGGTTTGGGACTGGCAAAAGATACGAGTTTCGGATCAGATTTGGAAAAACTCATTTGCTCTTCAAATTTCCCGACGAAGTTTCTTCTTTGAACAAGCTCACCGAACGAAGTAGCGACGATTTCCTTGATTTTGTCAACGAAATTAATTCCTCGGCCGTACTAGATCCCTTTACAATTGAAGGTCCCTTCGAATTGTTCCTCTCGCGCGCTCACCAATCTTCACTCCTCTTCCCGGTATGCTTCCCTTTTGATATCCTCATTAATTATAAGAAAGTGTTAACTTTTTACTTGGTTCATGTTTAGGATTTAGCGTTTGCTTAATTATTGTCTCGTTTGTAGTACATATTAATCATCAATTAGTAGTAGTCTGAAACTTGGGTATTTGGTCATCAGCTGAACAATTCACATACTGATCTGAAACGAGTCCTTGTCGGTGAAGGCGTCACTTTACAAGTAAGTGGAGCTCACGAGATTTCTATTTTCCAAACGCTTAATTTTGGCTTACCGGCGAATGAAAATGATGTCAAGGAGAAGAAAAGGGGATATTGGCCCTACCGGCATTCGTTTGTACACCATTACTCCCCGTTCGTGTTCTAGGGTCGGTATCTCTTGTTGCCTACCAAACTCGGAACCCTGATGCCCGCATTGATACTCATTTCCCATCCAAGGATACTATTGAGCTGCTTCCTGAGAAGTGTTATGACACCCGCGATTACACGAAACAACCTTGCCTTATAGATTCTATAAGTTCGAGGATCGCCAGGTTACAAAAAGTACTCAGGACATTCCTAGGTGATAAAAATAATCAGAAGGGGGTTTTTGGTTCTCTTAAGGTGAAAACTAAGGCATCACCTATTATTCATTTCCTGTTAGAGCTGGAAAAAAGCATTGGAAAGAATGAGAGTGTTCGTGGTATGTTAGCTGAATGGAGGACGAAGCCCACTGTCGAGCGACTATGGTTTGATATAATGGCTAGAGTCGAAGGAGAAAAACTGAAGCCCCTTACGATCAAGAAGGTCCGATCTTTTGTTAGTGTAGATACTGTCTCATGGAGTAATTTGTTGTCGAACATTTCTTTTACAAAGTTCCCATCTATTCTAGTCCCTCAAGAAGCCTTGACATTGGATATCAAATGGTAGTTGAAAACCATGTAAGATGCTTTTGTTTCTGATGAGATTTACCGGTCAATGCTATACGTGATTGTCTCCGTGTTTATTCCTCAGTTGATTAGTGTAACATATGCATTACTGTTATGCATAACAAATCTTTGAATTGCTTGTAAATAAAATTTACCAGAAAAACGATGATTGATGAAAGAACTTACACTCGTTTAAATTAGTTTCAGCTCCTTTAGAATAACAGCAATGGTATGATCTCTTTTTCCTTGTAATATAGGGAGACCATGCTTATGTTTCTCATCCTGTTATAGTTCCGAGATTTTTCTCCTGCTCCTTCCCCCAGTTATCTTGTTTCGGTTTTCTCAAAATAGTATGACTTGTGTTCGTTAGAAACTGATGCATTTCAGAAACCATTCTCCGACTCATGAAACCTAGCAAATGTTGGTTGGTCTAGAACCGCTGTAAAAGGTGATTCGAACTTATTACATACTAGTTATGATCAGATTAGTGTTCATCCAAGTTTGCATGCTTCGAACTTTCCTTTGAAACGGCGATCGTATTGGGAATCGAAGCAGATTTCTTGTCGTCCTTAGGAATGACCAAATAATATAGGACAGGAATTTGCGGTGACTTGGTGAACCGTGTAGACGAGTGTTAAGGTACTTCTTGAATGTTTCCGGTTGTATGAATCCAACGGACCTGTAGGTGTTGTTCGGTTCCGTTCAATCGAGTCGAACTTTGGCAACCAGTGGCGGATGTATGTGGCTCTTTAGGGGAGTCATTACACACCCATTATTTTTAAAAAATATATTAAATTCAGTTTAATTTGATAATGAGAATATAAAAAAAATAAGAAAATTTGTATATCTAATTTTTTAGTATAAAGATTTTGGACCTTATCTTTTTAATTTTTAAATCCAATTTCTAAATCCGTCATTGTTGGCAACCCTGCTAATACGAAACTATCAGACAACCCAAATGCAGCATGTTCTTGTGTTTAATAAATTATAAAAACCTATCGAGTCAGATAAATTGATCGGCTCGATTATAAATTTTAATAACCGATTAACGTGATCGTTTTAGCCAATGTTATAACCAATTAAACTAATCAATCTGTCGACTTAACTGAGTTAGGCAATTCGATCTGTCGATTTAACCTAGTTAGGCAATTCAATCTCCACGATACATGTCTCATTCACGTCCCTGGTTCCGACTTTCATAAGACAGTTGTGTCTTGTAATGGAAGTGGCATTTGTTTTGCCACGTCATTGATGGGACTTCTAGAGCCGCCTTATTAGTATTAAGGGTAAACTATATATATGACCATTTAACTATTAGTCATTTTCACTTTGATCATCAGTTTTTTATTTTTGTCAATCAGATCACTTAACTATTTGAGTGTTACAATCAAACCACCATTGTTAACATTTAAATGAAAGGTTGACGTGGCTGTTAAAAATATCAGTATAATTACATATTTAATCTTTAATTTTTATACATTTTATTAAATTGGTACTCATTTTAATTTAAGGTTAACTATATTATTGACCACTCAACTATTTAGCTATTTTACTTTTACCATAGATCTTTCAATTTTGTCAATCAGACCGCTTAAATATTAAATTTTATCAACCAAACCATTTGTTGTTAATAATTGACAGAAACTCTGACATGACAGTTAACAAAATTGGCACAATTCCACATTTAGTCCTCAATAGTTATATGTTATATCAATTTGATCCTAAATTAAATTAAATTTATTTTCCAACAAATCCGATGGTGACACGTGTCAATTATTTCGACTCCTCTCGCTTGTATGATTTCTCTTCATTACCAATTTTCCAATTGGATGGTGACATGTGTTGCCAATGGATTGGGTGGAAATAAAATAAAATAATTAAATTAAAAATACTTTCCATTCATATTGTGACACGTGTCAAGCTCTGATTAAAGGATTAGATTAAATTAAATCAAAATTAGGATCAAATTGATCTTATGAATGAGTTTGAGGACTAAATATATAAGTATGTCAATTTAGTTAAATACCACTTCAATACATCCGTTAATTATTAACGGCAAATGGCTTGACTGATAAAATTTAATAGTTAAGTGGATTGATTGACAAAATTAAAAGATTAATGATAAAAGTAAAAGTGTTAAAAAGTTGAGTAGTCAATGGTATAATTTACCCTTTAATTTAATTACATTATTTTAATTCTCTAATCACGTGTGTAAAAGGGCTAAAAGGCTAAATAGTTAAGGATTAAAATAATTGAATTAAATTAAAATGGAGACAAACCGATAAAATGTGTAAATATTAAAGATTAAATGTGTAATCATATTAATATTTTTAATATTCACGTCAATTTATCTGTTAAATGTTAACGATTTATGACTTGATTGCAATACTTAAATAATTAAATGATTTGATTGATAAAAATTAAAAGACTTATTGTCAAAGTGAAAATAGACAATAGTTAAGTGGTGAAAAGTGGTTTTAACTCGCTATCTTGTTTTGTAAGGGTAGTTTGACTTGGCCCATTTTGACTAGGTCTTGGATCTAGGGTTTTCTCTTCCCTTAGTCTGGGTTGTAGGGCTAAACTCTAATTAAAAAAATGGTTATCTCTTGTTCTCATATGTAATGGGATAAGGGGAGGTAAGATAGTAAGTTGCCCTAACACCAGGTTGAGAACAGCTTCCGTAGAAGATCTCCAAATTATGAAATGTTTTCCGTGAGACTCGATCTCACGACCTCAAAGTTAAGAACCTTGTGCTCTACCAGTTAGTAGCTCAGTTGGAGTCTAAACCAGTTTAACTTGGATATACATATATTCACTGGATCTGATTTGAATAAAGATTTTAAAAATAAAGATTTTAACTTAAATCTTCTTAACAGTAATAATCTAAGATATAATTTTTATTTTTATTAATTTAAGTACAAGATAATATCATATGTTTATATTTTTTATATTTTTGATGTTGAACTAAAAAAATTAAAAAAAAATAAGAATAATTATTTTATTATTAAGGTGATTTTACTCGTATAAATTTAAAATAGAATTTAAATGGTTTAAATGATAATAAAAAAGTGGACGTCAGAATTGATAAACCAGTATGGAGCAATGTGAAGTGTGAACGCAGCCCCACTGGGTGAGAAGAGACCGATCCAAAAGACACAGACAAATGAAAGCCACTGACCAAACTCCAAGGCCATGACTTCACCTTTGTCTCTCTCTTTTTAGGTGTTTATCTTATTGTTCTTTTGTACGATCCACGCGTTTTCTATCCCTTCACTCGTTTTCTCCCCCAAATAAATAAAATAAAATGATTCCTTGCTTGTTTGGCTCTCACTCCTACTTCAGAAAATTAATAAAAAAAAAGCCTACAAAGAAAACGATGGCCGAAAATAAGACGAGATATTGAGATTGATTTGGTTAAAATTTGATAAATATTTGATTTGAATAGATTTGACTCGAATTTTTAACGAGTCGAAATGAATTATTTGATACTCGACTCGAAAAGCTCGTGAGCAGTTCGAAAATATAATATATTAAAATTTTATTTTTTGAAAAAAATAAATTATTAATAATATTAACATCTAGTGTGTTATTTTTTTAAATACAATATAAGATTTTTCGTGTATTTAAAGTTTAGATTCGAGTTTAAGTTTGAGGTTTTAATTAAGTTTAAGATTTGTTTTTCCTTTTTCAAGCCTTTTCGGGTTTTTACGCGCTTCAGTTCATGATTTCGAATTCAAGTCGAACTTAAAAATTTTAAACTCACGAATATTTGAGTCGAATTAATCTCCATTTCAGAGTTTAACTCGGTTCATTTACGGCCTTAATTGATCTAACTTCCAACTATCCTTTTATGAATAACTAAATTATGATATTTTCAAATGTGTCCGATTGTAATCATTATCTGGTATACATATGAAATTCCAAGTCATAGAAATAAAAAAAATCCAAATTATATTCTACTTTTACTGTTACTTTTGAAAAATTATTAAATAAAAAGATAAAGAAATTTACATATTTATTTAAAAAAACATTATTAAAATTTTAAACTCCCCACGTGAGGAAGATAAAGGTATTGGAATTGAATTGGAATCCCAATCTTATTATTGCCAACAATTATGGTCAGAATTGGTGACTGATTTCTCCATTGATTTATTGAATCAAGAAGCCATCAAATTGTGCTTCCAACCCGCCTATCCCTATGTTCTAATTCCTTCTTTTCTTTGGGGTCTGTCACTTGACTGATAAAAAAAACACAATATACCTTCAATCGGAAAGGAAAAGGAAAAGGAAAAGGAAATGAGAATGGAAAATTTTCTTTCTAGAAAAGAAGCAAGCCTTTTCATTTCCGGGGTTTAATACAAAAATTGCATTTCTTTCAAAATGATTATGTACATTGAGGTTGACAGATACGTGCACTGTTTTTTCACCCATTGAGCCAGTCCAGACTGTACCATTTTTCTGCAACTTGAACATGTAGGTCCGGCACTGCCTTTTCAAGAACTCTCCACTGATCGAAAGCTTCTTCATCGCATACAACTCGCCGCAGTGACTTCAAGTTCGATAAAACGGCCGGTGTCGGTAGACTCATGATCTGTAAACAGTCCCTCATGTCTATCTTTTCCAAGCTTGTTAACTTACCTATTTCCCTGGGTAGACATTTCAAGTTAACGCATTGAGAGATATCGAGGTATTTTAACCCGACTAACTCACCGATACCGGGAGGGAGCGTCTTGAGTTCCGGACAAGCGTATAGCCTAAGTATCTGTAGTTTCTTCAGCATACCTAAATCAGCAGGCAATTCACGTAACCGGTGGCAGTTGGTTATGTTCATACTTTGTAGTGAATTCACCTTACAAATGCTCAATGGTAGCTTAATCAGATCATCACAATAATCGATTACCAGCTCTGATAAACGAGGGAAGATCTGGGGCAGGTCAAGCACCGATGGATCGAGGCTGTTACTAATTTTGCATAGAACCATGGATAGTTTCTGCAAGCTCCTCAATGGAACAGTGGCGTTGGATAATTGAGGAACAGTCACTTTTTCAAGCCATAGACTCCGCAAATTTGCCAGATT